TATTTCAAAACGCAATTAATGTGTTATGTAGTTGTAAACCGGTATTATTATTCTATATTCAACCAGGCCTATAGCCTGTTTCTTTTATCAATAAATTACGTGATTACTAATATCATATTTTGAAATATCATATAATTAATATATTTCGAATTAGTTAACTTACTTACAGTAAATGTAATTTCTCTATAGTAATATCGTTATTGTTCCTGTCCTTTCAATACAAAAAAGTAAAACATAATGTTTTAGAGTGAGATTGTAACTGTTAGGCCTATTCTATTTTAATTATAGTGTTACATTACTTTTTGATTTTTATATCTGTTCTGTTTCTTAACTGTTTCATGCAGTGTTTTTTAACTGCTTAGGCATATGTTACATTTTTAATTGTTATGCTACAATGTAAGTGGAATGTTGTATTATGTATTATACTAGCGAACAAATAAATTTCAATTGAATAACGTGCGTAGTTATTTCTTTTACCTATTTATTTTCTTTTAAAATTGTATAAATTTCAATGTATTGTATGTTTTAAATATGTTTGATGTATTATATATGTTGTCTTATCACAAAAACAAATTTTTAGTTCTCTATGTGCGATTTTCGTCTACTAAAAATATACTTACCTTAAGTAACTAAATAACCCAAATAATAAAAACCTACATATTAATAACTAAATATAATACTTGGAACATTGATTATTTATTAATATTTTTTTTGTTTAACATGTATTTAATATACCTAATATTTTTTTATTCGCTAGTCGTAAGGGAGGCGCCGCTTTGCCAGCCCAAGGTCGGACACCCCTCACCATGTCACTGTTATATTGCATAATCAATGTTTTTGCCACCCACCAAAATCCTCCTTCCCAACGTTCTACATTCCTCTTGCGTCTGGTTTCTGTTCAGTCGTAAAAAATAAAACATTCATAATAATTTCAGCTCTTACCAAGTTAAATACACTTATGTTTTCGTTAAACACTGGGTCCAGCCTGGTGATTTTGGATAGGATTTTCTAAAACGTTACAACATTTATTATAGGCCTTTAGTAACAAATAAACAATACTGGTCATTTAAAAGAATCTATATGATTTTAACGTTTTCTATGAATTGAGTAAGCTATATTGCATTGAGTAGGATTTTCTGTGTAGAATTACTACTTTATTGAATTGCCGTTTCCTCTTCGAAAGAGGACCACTGCTAAAACTCCTCCAGTTACATTTTACAATGTAAATTGTAAACTTTTGTATATGTTAAGTTCTTTTATGTAAATTTTAATCGTTACATGTCTAATTTCAATATATTTAAATTCTGGATGTTTTGAAATATTAATTTTGAAATAATTAAGTGAGGCCCAGTAGTGGAATAATTTTCTTTTAGTATTGATGCTGGAACTAATCTTATGCATATAAACGTGGTTGCAAATCAAATACAGAAACAAACAAGCAAACAAAATCAAGTATACAGGGTGATTGATATAAGTGTGCCAGCTGTTTTATTCGAAAACCATAAGAGATATCAAAAAAAGTTAAATGGTTAGTGCCTTGGACTTTTGATTAAAAAAATTGTAGTAAAGTCGAAAAAATTATTTTAGCCGCCATTTTTCCAATATGGCCGCCAACTTAGATTTTTCTTATGGAACACCCTGTATTTTATGACGTATTCTGGTAGGAAATGTAATTTTAAGACGATTTTATTCTTGTGATTTTTGTCATAAACCTAACCGTTTCAAAGATAATAATGGTTTAAGTTGTGAAATTTTGAATGGTTTTCGAATAAAACAGCTGGCATGCTTGCTTAGGCCTGTATCGAAACTCTCTCATGCAAAAATTTCAAAACTTTAACCATTATTATCTTTGAAACGGTTAGGTTTATGAAAAAAATCACAAGAATAAAATCGTCTTAAAATTACATTTTCTACCGGAATACATCATAAAATACAGGGTGTTCCGTAAGAAAAATCAAAGTTGGTGGCCATATTGGAAAAATGGCGGCTAAAATAATTTTTTTTACTTGACTACAATTTTTTAAATAAAATATCCAAGGCACTTACCAATTAACTTTTTTTGATATCTCTTATAGTTTTCGAATAAAACTGCTGGCACACTTATATCAATCACCCTGTATACGTCAATAAGCTGTTTTTAGCGACTCTTTAACAATCTTTTTCATATTTTGAAGTCATTATTGACTCGTCCTTAAAATACACTGTAGCGTCAGAAATTGAAAGCGTGGAGATACGGGCTAACTATTATTAACATGGATTTGAATAAAGAAAAAAGTCAAACTTTTGCATCCGCTGATCACCGGTTATTATTTTAAATCACCGACTTTTTTTCATAATAACAGCTTTGTAATTTTGGAAATTTGCCACTATCAAGAAATTACATACTGTATTTCACTACTAGTCCCAAAAGGAACTCATTGATGAAAACATAATTGATATACCATGGAATAATACGAGTAATTTATTATTTAATACTGAGAAGCTTTTTGTAAATTTTTTGCATCGTGATGAAAAGTATGCCTATCGTTCACAACTCGTCACAAAAGATCACTTCCGGTCTTGATCGTTATTTATGCGCCCGGCTTCGTCTCGCTTGTGAATCATCAGTATCTTGTCCCGAAATCTTTCGGGACTAGCCTACTGTAAATGTAAAATATACAGTAGGCCTACCATTAAGTTGTCAGCTGTTGAAATATACTACTAAGATAGCTATTTGAACAATAATTCTCGTAATAACATTGTATATAATATATAATACACATTGTACAATACAATTAATATATACATTGTATATATTAATTTGGTTCACACAAATGCACCTATTTGCATACCTTCCCATAGTTGGTTACTATGTCTGTGCTTAATTTTGTGCTGATCGCTTCAGCCGTTAAGGAGGAGTATTTGTAAAAAAGATGGATTGTATAAGAGCGTTGCTCACTCCACTAAATAACAGGCTGTCAGCTGATACGACTACAAAAGTTCATTCTTTGCTTCTTTACTAATTTTCTATACAGGGTGATTGATATAAGTGTGCCAGCCGTTTTATTCGCAAACTATAAGAGATATCAAAAAAAGTTAAATGGTAAGTGCCTTGGATTTTTTATTTAAAAAATTGTAGTCAAGTCAAAAAAATTATTTTAGCCGCCATTTTTCCAATATGGCCGCCAACTTTGATTTTTCTTATGGAACATCCTGTACTTTATGATGTATTATCATAGAAAATGTGATTTTAAGACGATTTTATTCTTGTGATTTTTTTCATAAACCTAACCGTTTCAAAGATAATAATGGTTAAAGTTTTGAAATTTTTGCATGATAAAGAGTTTTGATACAGGCCTAAGCAAGCATGCCAGCTGTTTTATTCGAAAACCATTCAAAATTTCACAACTTAAACCATTATTATCTTTGAAACGGTTAGGTTTATGAAAAAATCACAAGAATAAAATCGTCTTAAAATTACATTTTCTACCAGAATACATCATAAAATACAGGGTGTTCCATAAGAAAAATCAAAGTTGGCGGCCATATTGGAAAAATGGCGGCTAAAATAATTTTTTCGACTTTACTACAATTTTTTTAATAAAAAGTCCAAGGCACTTACCATTTAACTTTTTTTTATATCTCTTATGGTTTTCGAATAAAACGGCTGGCACACTTATATCAATCACCCTGTATATACTCCAATGTATGTTTGTTTGCAGTTTGTTTGTCCTTTATGCGTTACCAAACTGGCCATCCGTTGTGATGAAACGTTAGGAAATTGTTCTATACACTCCCGGGAAGGTTTCTGTCACATTCCTGTTCTTGAACACCCTTGCAGCTCTGCCCCAGTGGCTCTGGAATTTCCCTATGTTAACGTTAAGTGAATTCATATTTCAAAAGAATCTATGCATTTTGACAGCTGTTTAAAATAAAAACCAATGAGTTGGTTTATGTGATGTTCAAGAGCATTAAAAAGTTAAGAGGTTTAACAACAGAACGCAGCTCTAGACCAAAAAACCCCATAGCTCAATAAAAAAATTACAAACTTCATATTAAAAGCTTTTATCCTAAGTTTTAGATATTTTTCGTAAGATTAATACAGGAAAATTAAAGCAAACCTGTTACTCGCCCGGTTCTCAACAGATTTTGATCAAGAAAGAGAAAAAAAAACATGAAGGCTAATCAGATGCGTGTTTAAATGTTTGCTCCTGTCGAAACAAACTTATATATCTATTTATCTTAGTAACATCAATACGAAATGTTTTTAAATATACCAGAGAACATAATGTCACAAAATTAAGGTTTTTAAATTAATTAATCCTACTTCAAGATAGCCTATATAACAATGTTCTATAAAGTAATGTAAAAATTAAACTGTACTATTGGCGAATTTGGTTTGAGGGTATAACTATAAGTGAAAGGAGATAGAACGGGAAAAGTATTTTTGTAAAAATATTATGATTTTGTTCCAGAGAGAGTGAGCAGTTCGAAGCTCTTGGTAGAAAGGCAAAAGGCAGTTAATTTTTCAAATGAAGTTCTCCCTTAGGTTGACTTCAGTAGCCCCATAATTAGTTTTGCCGAAAAGGCTATAAGAATGAATTTAATCCGTAATAACTGTTTCCATATGGAAAAATAATGTAAAAGGTCATGTTAAGCCCGTAGTGAAGAGACAACTTCTTCATGATGATGACACACAGTCGGTCCATGATAAAACTCATAAGTATGTCGAGCAAAGCCGACGGATAACAGATAGTGCCATATAAACCCCCCCTTGGTCAATTAATATTTTTCAAGTAATAGACAAATAGATCTGCTTTCTCCTATTGAAACTACCTGTCCGTGCTTGTGTAAATTACTACTGTAATATCAGGCTTTGGAATGACTGGTTTAAATTAATGACGTCTTTATTCTATGTTGTGGGTCTCTTGCTAACAGTTACTAGTTGATACTTTTTAAATTATAAATGCCCCTACGTATTTACTGTAACACAAATCAACCTTTGCGTACTGGTGTTTCAGGCAAGGATGGGTGAGGAGGCGGCGTTAGACGACTCAGATCTCTCGGACATAGAGATTGACGATGAAATCACAGAAGAGCTTATGAAATTGGATTTCATGGGATCCAGCTCCGACGAAGATGAAGAAGAGGAAGAGGAAAGGTTAGCTGAGGACAAGGAGGATAAAAGGCTAGTGGAGGAAGAAAGACCGCAAAGAGGAGATAGTTTGGAAAGAGAACTTGAAGTCATGTTCATGTCTCAAAATGCTAAGGAAGTGCCTGGAGGGGTGGAGGAAGGGGCCAGCAAAGATACAGGATTGGAGAGTATCTCTGACAATGAGCTAGACGGTCCGGAATCTGGAGAATGTGATACGAGTGACGGAGAACTGCCAGACAGTCCCAACATAGTAGTGACGATGCCCGATACGCCGCCCATCAACCACATGCAAGGGATAGAGGACCTGTCGGGTTCCAGCGACGTGGAACTAGTGGATGAGTATCACGGAAGAGAAGGAGAGTATTACGAGAAACCTGCTAGAGAAGTGATCATCGAGAAGAGGGAGCTTGTTGTCAAGAGGAAAGAAAAAAGTCCGAGCAAAAGTAGAGAAAGGATTATTGATAAAGTGATGAAAGACAAGAAAAGCAAAAGTAAAAAGAAAAACGAATCGGAAGGTACGGAAGAGGAAAAACGACGCTTAAAACTCGAAAAATACATGGCGAGATTGGAAATGTATAGGGCTAAATGTCGTGAGTATATGAAACAGATTTCAAAGAAAACTGAACTCATGAAAAAGAACGAGAGAAAAAAAATTTTAATAGAAAAGAACAAAATCAAAAAGAGGATTTCTGGTGAAGGTAACAAGTTGAAGTCCATTGTGAAGGAAGTAGTCAGAGATAATTCACCTCATAGTTCAACATCGTCAAAGTTCGAGCGCAGCTCGCACTCGTCGAAAACAGACAAATCTCCGCTCAGTGAAGTCCACACCAAACGAAGTTCCTCGGATAAAGAGCGCAAGTCCAAGCACAAAAAACCTAAAAGCAAATCCAGAGAATTAAAAGAGCATAAACTGTTATATCAGGAATACTTACATTACCTCCAAATAGAGCGGCAGAAATGTCTCGAAGAGGGATTCCTTAAGTCAGAAAAACCTAAAAAGATTAAGAAAAAGAAATCAAAATCTAAGAGTCCCGAAAAGAAAAAGGAAATACCTCCTAAGAAGAAACAAACTCCTCGTCCTCCAATTTTATCTTTTTCTGAATTTTGTAATAACAGAGAACTAGTTTCACCTGATAAAGAAATTCCGCAACCTCCTGCCAAAGTAAAAGCTAGTGATGATGCACAAGTAAGGAAAGAAAGGACGTTATCTGTAGACTCTGCAGCGACGACGGCTACAGTGAGGAGTGACCCAGCTGACGACGACAAGGAGTTGTTCATCACAATTACTGACCTCGAAAAACAAGACAAACAAAAAGAACAGAAAAGTATAGAAGAAGACAAAGAGAAAATCGAGTCTGAATTAGAAAAGGATCCAGAGCTGAAGAGTATATCAGTGTTTACCAGCGTACTATTCAAGGGCGACTCTGAATCAAAAGCCATCCCTTTCTTGTCATCCGAATGCCGTCCATCTAGTCCAAAGCTGACCGAAATCAAACCAAAGAAAGCGTTCATTCAAGATACAGGTATCGATGAAATATACGATATGAACGACGATCTTTCGAATATTTCTCAATCTAGTCTTTCGCCGTCCAGGTCTCCCGTGCCTAAACTGCACAATAAGGCGTTACTTAATTTCCTAGAAAATCAAAAAGAAAGGAAGGAGGGATTGAACAAGAAATCTCCAGAGAAGAAGTCAAAACCTTCCAGGTCGCGGTCTAAAAGTCCCAGGAGAGAAAGATCGAGGTCGAAAAAACGAAAAAGAAAACACCATTCGTCAATATCGACTGTTTCACCATCTCCTCCTCCTCTCAGGCCGCGATCTCCGGAGAATATCCATAGGAAAAGGACTTCTCCTACGGCCTACCTCAAAGAGCGGTGGAAGGACTACCCGTCACCTCCCGAACACAGACTGGCCAAGAGAGATCACAGACTGACAACTCTAGTCCGCAGACGGTAAGCCATCACAGTATTGCATCAATGTACCAGAGTTTTATAACTTATAAAAATCGCTAAAATTTGTAAAAACGGTTTTCCAGTTGGTTACCATAACGAGACCGTAGTAGCCGCCGTTACGATATTTGTGTAATAAACATGGTCGCATAGTGTGTGCTGATTGCAAAAATTAATTGTCTGATTAGTTAACTCGTTATAGTGCTCTTCTCCAAATCGCGGTGTCGATTTTGGACCTAGATGGCATCGGGCTATCAATTAACAAATAGCTTTCCGACAAAATGTCAACATCGTAAGTAATATCATACAGTATAATAATAGATTCAAAACTACTGTAGTTCTCTGATAAAATATTTAATAAATCCTCCCGTATACTATTACACTTACTAATTCCATTTTTGATTATTCTTAAACATACGAAAAAGGTGAATCCGATCCCTAAATTAAATTACAACGTGCTTATTCCATTAAGAACAGTTTCGGTCTAAAACAATGGACCGCTCTATTGCCCTTGAACTTAAACCCTCTTCCCTACCCACCGTACCAAATCCCGACCGATTGGTCCCGGGACTATGCATAGATCAAGTCCGATTGGTCAGTTTCTCATTTTATCAGTGCCAGCTCAGTTCGTAAGTTTAACGTTATAATATTTCCGTATAATATTTCCACAGGGCGGTACAGGGGTTGGCTGCGCGCGTCCACTATTGATCCGTCCTCCGTTGCTCGCAATTACTGTGCTCTGCTCTGCTCGACCGCCGACTCTGCCGTTATTTACCGGATCTCCCGAGGTGTTGTATCCGGTTTCATTGATATCGGCCTCTCTGCGGTATTAACAGTGAAGTAGTGTCCGAGATGTAAATACAGGTGCGGAGTGCGCGATGGTTGTGACGGCCGCCCCTGTCCTTATCAGGGCCGCCGCGTTGATAAGGGACCCCCGCTGATATGTTGGTCACTGATAACAGTGTTATCGCACTAGAGCAGATTCTTGAAGACCTCGAGGGAAGGTATAGTTTTGTAAATTAGATTGAGTGTTTTATTAGTGTATTTTTCAACATTTGCATGTTTATGGTTTGATATGGAAAGGGAACTGTTGAACGGTCTTAATATTATCTAATGTCGATAATTTGTTAGATTTTATGGATTTTATCAACAACAATCTAACAAATATATTATATATTGGGTGGACCAAAAACTTAAGATATATGATACTTTGTCGATGTCGCTTGTAATCAGATTTGAAGGCGACTGTTCAGTGTAAGTGTTGTAAGCGTAAAGAACTGTTAGAGCTTTATACTTTTAAAAAGCCTTGTGTTCATAGAATATACAAATTAACTTTTTTTACACATTCAGTAACTATAAAGTGTGTTAAACCCGTCTTGAATACGGTTTGCGAGTTGCACAACTACGCGTTTAGAAATAAATTGTCGAATCCAGCGTATAAAAAACTCCTGAGTGAAACATAACGAAAATAAAAAAAATAATGAATTGTTAAATTCGTCCCACTTACGCGTTTAGACGTTTTAGACCAGTGTATTGTGATTTTAACCTATATTTTACCCAAAACCCAATTAACGATTTTTGTACTGTACTGTTTGTTTTACATATACGTAAATGCTTAGTATTGCATATTTTGAAAGTTCGTTATATACATTAAAAATAAAGGGGGAACGTATGAAAAATGTTATGGACCATAAAAACAAGAATCGAGGCGAATTTAAATAATTTATATACACTTACAGTATTACAGTTTATAGTTTTGTAACGGAAATAATGATTACTGAATCGATTTATCGTCTAAACTAACTATTCATTAACTTTATAAACAACTTTTCCCCTTCATTCTATGACAAATTCCAGTATGACTTCTTCCTAATTTTGACCTATGTTGTTCGTTATCATAATTACTCGTTTTTTTAAATGTAAAGACTGCCCTTTTCATGTAACATTCCTGATTATTTTGTTGTTTGTAAAAGATGATATTACCAAAGTGACTTATACTTATACCATTTGACTATTGTGTCAGTCCTTCATCAACCTAAACCTAAATGAAATTAGGGACATTTTTATCAAAACTGGAATTAAATATTTAACAAACTGAAACTTAATCAACAATAGTCTTATACTGTACCTCAGTTATTTTAAAGGGTGTTCTGTATCTAATGTTTTTTATAAGTATTAAATGTAGTACATGATTGTTGTTACAAGAAGATCTTACTTATCTCACCGGTATGTAAACTACCAATTAATTTCATACTGTACCACAGAGTTAATTTAATTAACGCAACTAGTTTTTTAGTGACACCCAAGGTCATACACATTACAAAACCAGCATTAACAAACCTAAGTTAAGTTATATTCCTAAAGCTAACCTTCATTAAATAGATAATAAAGTCGCAAGACTCCAATTTAAAAACCTGCATAATGTTTTGCATATACCGTGCACATACTTGAACGGGATGTGCCGTTCAGTTACAAACGCTTGTGTAACTGAACGACTTAATTATTTGATTAGGAACTCATTGACTCACTGATCAGGTATACAAATGTTAACCCACTTCTAAAATAGCTACTATCTGAAATCTTTTGTGGATGTCCATCTCGATCCCAAACCGCCCAGAAAATTCAAAAAATTGCAGTTTCAAATCACAACCCCTTAATAAAACCCTAAATCGCATTTTCTTTTTAAAAAAAAAAACGCATTTTTAAAACGGATATAGCTCGAAAACGGCAAGAGCAAAGATTTGAAATAATTTCCATGGTCAGGAATAAAATTTTCTTCAAGACACTCTTCGGCGTTTTTCGAAAATCGCCCTACTTTACCTTAAAAAAAAACGTACTACTTCTAAAATTTGTAAAATGTCTTGGATTTTAGACCATGTTTTCAATTTTTTAAATTACTTTTCGGACATATATTACAGTACTTTTAATGATCCCGATCCCAACGTTGAAAGAAAAGTTCCTAAAGTGACAGTTTAAAAACAAGACTAAACTCGTATGTTGGTTTGGATTGCGTTTTAATCGTGTACTAGTGTCCCTGTTGCTCGAAATCGAGCAATTGCTAAGTATTACAGGCGTTATTTTAAAACAAATAACAGTTATAATTTTTTATGAGTTTAAAAGATACGACTCAAAGATTATGGAATACTCAAGATGTACACAACAGATCGATGTAATCAACATTTCTTGTAAATATCTTATCATTTTTCAAAAGCTGATTATTTTAGTGTTTTCTACATATAGCCTTACTCATAGCCGCATTAGGATTAGGTTGTCCATAATAAAGATTATATATAAAAAAAAACACGTTATTTCTATTTCTTCTCCTTGGTGGTGTTCTATGACTGTTTTTATGTTTCCATAGTTTGTAAATCGGCTCTTTTAATGATTACTAAGAAATGCAGCACAGTGTTAATTCAGTGTACTTTTTATTATAACAATTTATCCAGGCTCTCTAGTTTTTTTTCCATTGTAATATTTACGTCAACCCAAATTCAAATAGTAACTACAGTATTTCATTTCAACCAAGTAAGTAAATGTTTGTAGCAAACTATTGACTGTGTTTACAATTAACATATGTCCTTCTTCTCACTTTTAATTTCTGACAACAGCTGGAGTTTCATAACAATATTTTGTTTCCCATGTTAATCTTATGGAGAAATACAAAACTTTAAAGGGCTCCAGGGCCTCACCCTCTAATTATTTCCCTAAAAAGAAAGTTTCCTGCACAACTTCACGGTACGCTCTTTCCAATGACACCAAGAACATGTAGGAGCAGTTTCGGAGGAGTAATTGTCACAAAAAACCTGCTTGCGTATTAAATAAGTACGAGAGGTCGTCCAGTGGTCGAAACTCGACCAAAAATATGTAATGTACTCACTTCTCTATTTTCACCCCACACTGTAAATAAAACATGTGATTGGAGTTTCTTCCATTTGTTTTCATTTTCTGTTTATATTTCGTTGTTATTTCGTCACCAGCATGGCAACGCATAAAATCCATGTTATTTTTTTCAAATTTTCAAACTCATTTTTTGTGCTTATCTTTGAGCCTATTTAAATTTATAAAGGGATTCTGCACACCTACAGGAAAATTGCTTTCTAACGGTATGCGCAGATTTACCCCACGATGCACACAAGCTGAGAAAAAAGGTTTTAAAGAAACATGCTTGCCTATTAATATATAGATAGATAGATAATTAATTTCAATGAAAGTCAGTGCCATTGGTGATAACCCCTTTGTCATGCCGTAGTAGTAAAGAATAACATAGTGAGAATTATGACTCTTTATTCTGCACAGAGTCTCACAAGTTGAATTAGTGTGATTCGTCGAGGATAAAACATTTTTACGTTTAAAATAGTAGTTTATGATGATGATTCAGGATTTGAATTAGTCGTGAATATTTACTGAGTCAGTGTAATTTGTGGGTTACGAAAACCGTAGTTACGTTCAAAATAGTAGTTTATGATGATGATTCAGGATTTGAATTAGTCGTGAATATTTACTGAGTCAGTGTAATTTGTGGGTTACGAAAACCGTAGTTACGTTCAAAATAGTAGTTTATGATGATGATTCAGGATTTGAATTAGTCGTGAATATTTACTGAGTCAGTGTAATTTGTGGGTTACGAAAACCGTAGTTACGTTCAAAATAGTAGTTTATGATGATGATTCAGGATTTGAATTGGTCGTGAACATTTACTGAGTCAGTGTAATTTGTGGGTTACGAAAACCGTAGTTACGTTCAAAATAGTAGTTTATGATGATGATTCAGGATTTGAATTGGTCGTGAACATTTACTGAGTCAGTGTAATTTGTGGGTTACGAAAACCGTAGTTACGTTCAAAATAGTAGTTTATGATGATGATTCAGGATTTGAATTGGTCGTGAACATTTACTGAATCAGTGTAATCTGTGGGTTACGAAAACCGTAGTAGTTTATGATGATGATTCAGGATTTGAATTGGTCGTGAACATTTACTGAGTCAGTGTAATTTGTGGGTTACG